TCTTAGGAAGGAGATATTGTTTCTCTTTTTGATGATTTTTATATTCAGGTTACGTAGTTTGGAGATAGTTTCACGGTATGATTGGTTTATGGTTTATCATTCATGCTACTATAGATATTTCTAAAGTTTTATTTTATTTGAATGTATTTAGATGATTATTAAAGCTTCCTAACTGTTAGGATGCCCACAAATTTCAACAAATACATTTCTTTCTTGGTTAAAGGACTAATACTTACCTTTAACTTCATGTTCACTGTTTTTTCTCCTTTCAGCAAGAACTTCCTTGTCATAGTTCGTTCTTTTTAAACAATTAATGCCATATTGTAGGCTCTTCCTACCAGAAAATAACACAAGACAACGATTAACAAAATATTAATAAAAGGATTACTTTCCTAATCAACTAAAGTAGAGTAATTGTATTTTCACAAGCATTATCAAGAATTACAAAATTATTCCAAAAACTAGAAACTAGATATCTTATGCTGGGGAAACAGCTTACAGCCTGAATTATAAAAAAAAAAAAACGGTTTTATTATATTGACAGGCTTGCAAGTCAATATATTTCATCTCTAGATTAGCTGGCATTTTTGGCTGTTTGTCAAAAATGTTTAGGTACACAGATCCATTATTTTGAGTTTAACGTATAATAATAATGTCACAGATATCCACTATTTACAGTCTAGCATCTAATTATACAATGGGAGAATGTCCAATAGTCACGATTATCATACTGTTAGTTGGAAGTACAAATTTGGAAGGTGTGATGTTTACCTGATATGGAAGGTGCGATGTTTACGTGATATGGATGCAGTTATGATCTAATTCAAATGAAATTACGCAATCAGAAAAAAGGGTCATCCAAAAACATAAACCAATCAAAAGAGGATAAGAAATAGTAAGACTGAGATACATTCTGTGTTCTATATGTCATGTAATGTTGAGAACCATTCTTACAGTTTATATTAATGTCAAAATAGAATGGTTCTGAACAAAATCAGCCTTAATCCTTTCAAAAAACTTTTCATCAAACACCAAAACAACTTTTTGAAAGTTTCATTGGATTTATGTGAAGCGAGAGATCAAACCCTAAACTTCATGTGAGAAATTTGTCTTACAGATATTCTATTGTTCAAAGTTGCTACCAAAGTATGACAATTTCTCTATGATCAGCTCTCACGATTTTGGGTTAAAAGAATGACAAAATCAAATGTCTTTTAGGAGTTATAAAATTTACAAGAAAACTGGATGATTCTTTTCATCTAGAACTTTATTACACATAAAGATAATGACATATTTATTGGTATAAATGAAATTTAACTTTTTAATGGTAATTCAAACATTTCATACTTACTAAAAAAAATACATTTTAAATTATCCAAAAAAAAAAAAAATCAAAACCAGTACCTTAGTTAATATTTTCTATCATTCTACTGTGTGTAATCCACTTTATTTTAATGCAATAGAACTAATCTACTGACTGTTACAGTGATACAGTTGGGTTACTCACCTATGGAAACTGTCTACCATTTTTAGGTGGACTCTCAAATCTTTTTTGGTTAAGTGGTCTAACATTCGGGCATCTACCAAGCATTCCATGAAGGTGGATCTGTACTGTGGTAGTCCAAGACTTGGAAGCCAATCATTACCTATCCATTCATGGTTCATCTCACCAAATGCTAGAGTCTAACAAAAAAAAGAAAATAATAAAAACATAATTTTTATTGCACACACACACACACATATATATATACTGTTGTCTCTAGTAAAAATGTTGCACACAAACACACACACATATATATATATATATATACAGAAACTCAGCACCTCCAGATGACACTTGTAGCCTAATATACTTGTCAAGTATTTGAAAATATCGGTTATGTTCCATAAACACTGCTGTATTAGATCAGAAGCACTTTCTTTAGCATTTCTTGTCATTTAATAATGAGTTCCAAAGTGTGAAATCCTAAATTACAATAAAATCTTTTCAATGTTTTTTTATTGATAAGAAAATCCAATGAACCATGACGCAAATTTTCTAGCTGCATCGTACGTGTTCGGTTTAGCAGTAAAACATGAACATTCTTAACTAAACCTAATTTATTATGCCTTTGAAGTGTTTTCTGTGTCATCTATTCAAAGAAATGTAAAAGAATAAACATGAAATTTTATTATTATTTTCCTCCGCATATTGTTTACAAGTATTTTAATAGAAACTAATTCTATTGTTACACAAATGTATTTTGAGACTACTATAACAGTGTATGTACATATATGTATAATAAACATTCATTTCGAAACTCTTGAAATATTACAAAAGGGTAATCCTTGTCTTATAGCATAAAAAATGAATAAGTTTCTACTTTTTTAGAAAATAATTAATGTAAGTTTGTTTAGAGTCGTTTTTATTAAATACCCGTACAGTCAATGAAACATGTAGTTATTATTCCAAAGGTATGAGCTCATCCTAGGATAGTTTATTTGAGATCGTTAAATGTCTTCTCATGGCAACTTCATTCTAAAGTAACTAAATACTTTTAAAAACAAATTTACATTGTTAATTCAAGGTAATTATCCAAAGACTAACTGATGTATTTATATAATTGTGGATTAAGAGTTTTATCACTTGAATTATCTTTGCATAAATTCTTATTGATTAACGAATTTGTCAGAATTACTGTTTCTTGAGAGAAAGTTCACATAACAAAGCTGTGGAATATTAGGAATATGAGTACTTACTGTTCTAGAAGGTTTAGCAGCTGATGGGCTTGTAAGAGCTACCATTTCCTGGATAGCTAAGCGAAGTTTGAGTCGGTGAAGAGGGTTGCTAATTCCAATCTCTCTTTGGATTTCTGTATCAGATAATGCTGACATGATGGCTCCACTTTTAACGTTGGCTCTGCATGCTGCTACATACCAGGGTGGCATGCCTACCCAGAGCTACAAGCAACAAAACACTATAATGAATAATGTTTCTTTTGTACGTGTGTTTAACTAGTGTAATACTGATTAAAGCTTATTTCAGAAAGGTAAGTTCAATAATGTGCATGTTTTTAAAGTTCTAACATGTTTTTCTTTTTCACTTTGTTAATTATTGCTCAGAGCATAATTGTTTTATTAGACATAATTTTGGTCTTCCAGTTTCTGATTATGTAAATTCCAATTAAACTTCCTGCATTATTAAGACAATTTGTAAAATGATACTTCACATCAAATATGTAAATGCAAAACTGATGTATGTGAAGATCTGAGAGAAGGGTTTAAACAAGACTGGAGCATGTGAAGATCTGAGAGAGGAGTTTAAACAAGACTGGTGTATGTGAAGATCTGAGAGAGAAGTTTAAACAAGACTGGTGTATGTGAAGATATGAGAGAGGAGTTTAAACAAGACTGGTGTATGTGAAGATCTGAAAGATGAGTTTAAACAAGACTGGTGTATGGAAAGATCTGAGAGAGTATTTTAAACAAGACTGGTGTATGTGAAGATCTGAGAGAGGAGTTTAAACAAGACTGGTGTTTGTGAAGATCTGAAAGAGGAGTTTAAGCAAAACTGGTATATGTGAAGATCTGAGAGAGAAGGTTAAACAAGACTGGTGTATGTAAAGATCTGAGAGAGTATTTTAAACAAGACTGGTGTATGTGAAGATCTGAGAGAGGAGTTTAAACAAGACTGGTGTATGTGAAGATCTGAGAGAGGAGTTTTAACAAGGCTGGTGTATGTGAAGATATGAGAGAGGGTTTAACAAGACTGGTGTATGTGAAGATATGAGAGAGGGTTTAAGTAGAACTGATGTATGTGAAGATATGAGAGGGGGTTTAACAAGACTGGTGTATGTGAACATCTGAGAGAGGAGTTTAAACAAGACTGGAGTATGTGAAGAGCTGAGAGAGGAGTTTAAACAAGACTGGAGTATGTGAAGAGCTGAGAGAGGAGTTTAAACAAGACTGGAGTATACAAAGATCTGAAATAGAGATGTATACAAAAATTTGAGACAGAGGTTTAAACAAGACTAACACAGGTATAATTTATAGTTTATGTAAAGGTATCAGACACTTCAGTTACACTTTAATGCATATTTTTAAATACAATGAAAAACCAAAAGACTGCCATTCTCTAACTACAATGTTGAAACAGCAACCTTCATTCCTATATCATATTCTAAATGTTGTTATAAACATAAAATTTACTGTTATGTCTCCGTTTGTTAATTGATTTTCCGTAACTTCATTCCGACGAAACTTAAGCGACACAAGTCCTTTCTTAATAAAACTGGTTTATTCTTTCCGAATATAACTTTACCAATACACTCAACTTCAACAATCGTGCTAAACAAACACTGTAACGTCTCTCGTGCTCTCTGACTGCAGTTCAATTACCCACTGTCTATACACACATTACATTCCCCTTCTTATATATACCCAACTACCCTATATCTAGTAAATACTAGAGCATTCGCCAAAGTACAGGATAATTCTAGAAAGTAGAGAGCGTGAGAATCACATGATCTCGATGACGCAACATTACCAAGTTATGACTAGTGATGTAATGCTAAAATGTTTTTTGCTGGAGTGCCAGCTAAGTCCTAACTAATGTATGGCCTCTGAATTATAGATGCACATGTAGGCTGCATTTCAGCCATTTGATTAGTTTATAATTACTAGCCACTAGTCAATTGAGGTTATATAACTAGCTAGAATATCTGAGTCATAACAAGTACAACTGGTATATCGTCTGTAGTTTATATAGCATCATAGTATATATCTATAATTTTTTTAAAGTAAACAATCAGTACAGGAGCAGAACTCCAGCCCACCACAACTGTGATTACAACCAAATTTTTCATTTTGATATTTTAATTCGTAACTCCTCCAGAACAATTATTCATGGGTTTTGGTTCTTATATCAACACAGAGTTCTCTTGGCTTTCACTTAACTTAGAAAATGAGAATTATACAAACCTCCAACCAAGCAACTATAGTTGGACCGTTCCACAGTGCAAATGGTGTTCCTGCCTTCATTGCTTCTGCTAATAATTCATGTCTGCAATGAAGATTAATAATTCATATCTATGGAGAGGCCATAACAGCTTCTCTTTTAATTATCGATTAGAAATAAACCAGCTATTCTGGAATGGTCAAGAAATGCTCTCAACTACTACACTTAATGTGTTATTTGTAACACCAAAGGTCATTTTGGCCAATGTAGATAACATCGGATTAGGATCTTATAAAACAAACATAGAAACTCAAAGCATGTTATCATACATTATTAAGTGATAAGCTAAGTTTAATAACAATCAGTTTAAGACTAAAACTATCTGTGACTTGTTGAGGATAAATGGATATCATAAACGATGCTGTCTGTGACTTGTTGAGGATAAATGGATATCATAAACCATGCTGTCTGTGACTTGTTGAGGATAAATGGATATCATAAACCATGCTGTTTGTGACTTGTTGAGGATAAATGGATATCATAAACCATGCTGTCTGTGACTTGTTGAGAATAAATGGATATCAAAAACCAAACTGTTCATGACTTGCAGAGGATAGTTGATGTGTTAAACCAAGATTAATAATTGTCAGCTATATTTTAATACCAAGAAGTTTCTATAGTAAATTAAAGAATAAGTTACCAATTTAGTGAATCAACACATTTAATAAAATGGGTAAAACTGGAATTAATCTAATGCTCCAAGTCACCCACATTTGATTCTCCAGTTCTCTCATTACAATATGATCTCTACAACTGTATCATTACAGTCTGGGGTGCCTCAGGGCTCAGTGTTAGAACCTTTGCTCTTTCTGATTTACATCAATGACATAGATGAAGGAATAGTCAACAAATCATTTAAATTTGCTGATGCTATTCACATTTTTGGTGTTGCTGGCTGTGAGGATGCTGCTGCTTTACAAAATGATTTGGATTATTTGGTGAGTTGGGTGAATAAATGGCAAATGGCTTTCAATTATAATAAATGAAAGGTAATGCATGTGAGTTATCATAATTTGAATCATGAGTGTTCTGGTTCAGTCTCTTAAGCTATCTAAGCAATGTGCTTTAGTTAGTGGCGGGGCAAATAGGACTTTAGGTTGTATCTATAGAAATTTTGAATATGAGTCTAAAGAGAGTATAAAGTCATTGTAGAGGTCATTCATTAGGCCATTCAGTACTACTCTGTTTAGTCTTGGGTTCCTTACCTCAGAAAGGGTTCAGAGAAGGACTAATAATACGATGCCTGGGAAAGAAAGAATAAGTTAAGATCTTGAAAAAAAAGAAGAGGTAGAGGGGATCTGATGTTTAAAACTGTAAAGGAAATTGATAGTGTTGATGCATCATCTGTTTTCATATTTAACAGTGAGAATAGTAGAACTAGGAGAAATAAATAGATTTTGGCAAAGTACGAGTCATCTTTACCTAAGACAGCTTTATTTTTCTAACAGGGTGGTTGGCCTTTGGAATGGGTTGCTTTCAGATATGGTAAATGATGTTAATTTAAGGGAGTTTAAGAAATGACTTGATAAATAGTTGAATGATAAGGTTTGGCTTTGAGTGTTTGATTTTTATTCCAGCGTTTAGTATAGTGGATGGGAAGGTTAAGGTGGACCAACAGGTCCTTGTTGTCCTTAAATTATATGTATATATATATATATATTATACAGACATAATATCATATATTTATGCTCATACTACACAGACACATATTTTGGAATGAGTTTAGTACACACTTTTTCTTTGTGCGTCGGTCAACATCAGTCTTTTGACCTAACCCACCACTCAAACCTGAAGTATCACCTCCTAATACTTCATTTTCCTGGTAGGTAACACCTGGAAAAAAAGAGGAAATGCAAAATGAAAACACTATAAGCAGTTCTTTTATCTTATTCAAAAATAAAACTTTGCTGAGTTTTACCAATTTGACAGACTGGCACAAAGGTTTCAGAATGGTCTGTTAAATAATTCCTGCATTTAATACTTAACAACCTCATTTTTATTAAACCCCTCGAGTTTAAACATTCCTCTAGGTTGCTCATCAAATTTACAAACATAATATTTCTTCTAGCTTTGAACTCAAAGGTTGTAATCAGTTCCAGAAGTAACTAGATTAAGTTCAATTAATTTGTCAACTGTACTTCACACCAAGAATCACGTTAATTTGTTAAACATGCACTTATCTTCAATCACATATTGTTTTATGCCTATTTGTCCATTTTGATTTACTATATGCAATAACACGATGCTGCTTTATAAGTCAAAATAAAAAGATAAGCATGATAAGATAACACAGATGACACATATCACCACAACTATATGAATAAGCAACAATTTTCATCCCCACGATCACTGACTACCGTATTCACTGACTACTGTATTTACTGACTACCATATTCACTGACTATCATATTTACTGACTACTGTATTCACTTACTACCATATTTAATGACTATCGTATTTACTGACTACCGTATTTACTTACTACCGTATTCACTGACTACCGTATTTAATGACTATCATATTTACTGACTACTGTATTTACTGACTACCGTATTCACAGACTACCATATTTACTGACTACCGTATTTACTGATTACTGTATTCACTGACTATCGTATTTACTGACTACTGTATTCATTGACTATCGTATTCACTGACTACCGTATTTAATGATTATCATATTTACTGACTACTGTATTTACTGACTACCGTATTCACAGACTACCATATTTACTGACTACCGTATTTACTGATTACTGTATTCACTGACTATCGTATTTACTGACTACTGTATTCATTGACTATCGTATTCACTGACTACTGTACTTACTGACTATCATATTTACTGATTACTGTATTTACTGACTACTGTATTTACCGATTACTGTATTCACTGACTATCGTATTTACTGACTACTTTATACATTGACTATTGTATTCACTGACTACTGTATTTACTGACTACTGTATTCACTGACTACCATATTTACTGACTACTGTTTTCACTGACTATCGTATTAACTGACTACTGTATTCGCTGACTATCGTATTTACTGACTACTGTATTTACTTTGAGGTATATAACATAATGAAGACAAGAGTATCAAAGGAAAATAAAATTTTTTAAGAAGAAAAAATAACAATGGGTGTGCCTAACACCTCACTGTGTAAAACTGTTCCTATTTTTTCATGTATAATCAAACTTAAAATCTTATTACTCTATCTTAACAGATAATTAAACCAAAAAAATTTGGTTTTAGCAACAATTTCAAAGACAATAAAAGAACAACAAACATTTTAAATTATTTAACAATCAGTAAATTATTTAATGTATTTTATGATTTCCTTTGATTTTTAACAATTATTAATTAAAGATGAACGATATTCTACCTTTATGAAAATAAAATGAAATTTAAGAATATTACATGTGTCACTCTAATAAAACTGTGATTGTTTAACTTAGATTTATCAATGTTCAAGTTTAATACAATAAATACCTTGAAAGTTCTCTGAGCGAACTATGTTTTTCTGCAAATTCTTGGTCCCATTCTTTAATTTTAGTTCTTTTTTAACTGTTCATTAATTGACAAATAAGAACACCCATAGGAACAAACTTTCCTACCTTGTTGAAAGGAAATCTTTAGCTTTTACTAACAAATAAGAACACCCAAAGAAACTTTCCTACCTTGTTGAAAGGAAATCTTTAGCTTTTACTGACAAATAAGAACACCCAAAGAAACTTTCCTACCGTGTTGAAAGGAAATCTTTAGCTTTTACTGACAAATAAGAACACCCAAAGGAACAAAAACTTTCCTACCTTGTTGAAGGACATCTTTAGATTTTACTGACAAATAAGAACACCCAAAGGAACAAACTTTCCTACCTTGTTGAAAGGAAATCTTTAGCTTTTACTGACAAATAAGAACACCCAAAGGAACAAAACTTTCCTACCTTGTTGAAAGGAAATCTTTAGCTTTTACTTACAAATAAGAACACCCAAAGGAACAAAACTTTCCTACCTTGTTGAAAGGAAATCTTTAGCTTTTACTGACAAATAAGAACACCCAAAGGAACAAAAATTTCCTACCTTGTTGAAAGGAAATCTTTAGCTTTTACTTACAAATAAGAACACCCAAAGGAACAAAACTTTCCTACCTTGTTGAAAGGAAATCTTTAGCTTTTACTGACAAATAAGAACACCCAAAGGAACAAAACTTTCCTACCTTGTTGAAGGACATCTTTAGCTTTTACTGACAAATAAGAACACCCAAAGGAACAAAACTTTCCTACCTTGTTGAAAGGAAATCTTTAGCTTTTACTGACAAATAAGAACACCCAAAGGAACAAAACTTTCCTACCTTGTTGAAGGACATCTTTAGTTTTTACTTTATCTTTTTTGGTAAAAAACTTCCCGAGAGAAGATTTCAAACCTTTCTTCTTTTTTTGCAAGGAATCTTGGGAAGAGTTGATAGAGCTAAAGTGGTGAAAGAGTGGGAACATAAGATCATTAATGTTATGCCATAAAGTACTAAAGATTGTCATAAAATTAAAACAAAAACAAAACATCTAAAGAGAAGATCATTCCCTACCAGTGAGGCATAATATTGGATGAATCTAAGATTTTGTCTATTATACAAACTTTCATTGTAAATCACTGAACAAAGTAATCGGGTGAATCCTTTCATTTTCTATGAAAAATACACAGGGAGGTCAGCAGCAATTAGTGAAATAACGCAATTGTTGGCATTTTTTACATTTTCTTATGTTACAAATGTTTTTTTTTATCCTGTAATCAAGAAAGTCATAAGAATTTTGGTGCATAAGCAGATAAGACAATTTTTATAAAAATTTACATGAACAAAGATGTTACTTTCAAGGTTTAGAAAGTTATAATAATTTGATATTTTAATATTTTAAACATTCCAGCTCATAAAGAGAGAGCAAATCTAGACAGTTTGAGTTATTTAGATGACAGAGAACACACATAGATCATTTGGAGTATTTAGATTGGTGGGAATAAAGCTAGACCATCTGGAGTATTTATATGTAAGTTCAAATGTGTTCAACATACGCAACAAAACAATTTAAAAAAGAATAAGAGACTTAACTACTGGTTTCACTGAATGAAAACTTATACAAGATGGTAGAAAAGACATCAGTCCCACAGGTAATTCAGATTACAAAGCAAAAGATGCTTATAACACTAATCAGTGTTGCATACATGACACCAGTGGCATAAATATGCCCCTGAGAGACTGACAAACTAAACAATTGCTGACAAGGGGAATAAACATAGGCAGTCCACATTTGGTAGTTACATCACTGCAAGACACCAATGATTACAATCAAAACTAGACCAGATTTATATATAAAAAACATAAAACATACATTTCTCAAGTATATGTGGAAGAAAGAATATAATTTATCACAAAACATTTCTTTTTTTTCTAAAGAAATATTTTTTGTTTTACAACTCATTGCAAATTACATATTAAACCACACAAAAACAACAACAACATGGTACAGAGTGTACAACACTTTGAAAATGTTCACACTTAAAATGCTTTATTAATTTCTTGTTGTTGTTATCAAATTAGGAATTACCTTTGCAGTTCTTCACTACTTTGTGCTAATGCCTGGGCAACACGTTCTAGTCGTAATGATCTCTGTGTGGAAGGACTAAGCTCTCGTCGATGTAGCCCAGTGTCATCCATTGATTCTGGAATCATCTGGATCTGAAGGAGTAACGTATATAAATATTTATATACACACCTTTAAAATTCTTTACTGTTAACATACTAAAATAAAGTGGAATATGAATCATTTCTACTTTGCTATTACTATAATAATTTAATTGGGTGACAGGAACTACATCAGTAAATTAAATCAATAACTTCTATTTAGTTATTGTCATAATGATTTAATCATGATGGAGTCAGGAACTACATCATTAGATTAAATCAATAACTTCTACTTAGTTATTATCATAATGATTTAATTTCAATGGAGTCAGGAACTACATCATTAAATTAAAACACTAACTTCTATTTAGTTATTATCATAATGATTTAATCATGATGGAGTCAGGAACTACATCATCAAATTAAATCAATAACTTCTACTTAGTTATTATCATAATGATTTAATTACATGTGTGAGAAAGGAACTACATGATGAAATTAAATCAATAAATTCTTGACATGCATTACTTGCTATTATTACAAATAAACCAACTTGACCACCATCTAACGTTAAACTTGTTTCACGAATCTAACTGAATATTAAAAATCATTCTAGAAAACCACATGTATAAATCGTATCACAACTGTGACTACATACATGCAAGTCATATCACAGATGTGTCACAAAATGTTTATGTGAAACTAATAATTTGCTGCATATAAAAAAACTATAAAATCTCAATTTCTAAACTCATATGTTAAAATTTTAATTCTTACAAGTAAAAATTAGCAGCGAAATAATATGAAAAAGATTTAAACTGTGTTAAAACTGCAAACACTAAATTATAAAAAGTGATATGATTGATGGTATCTTTCACATTTTACAGATTTTATCTAATGATATTGATATTGATACACTTAAAGAAAGAAATATCTTGCAACAATAAAATTCACTTAAAGAAATATCTTGCAACAATAAAGTTCACTTAAAGAAAGAAATAGATTACAACACTATAGTTCACTTAAAGAAAGAAATATCATACAATAATAATGTTATTTGTTTAAGTGAACTTTATTGTTGTAAGATATTTCACAAACATCTTTTCCTTACTTACTTTTAACCATTTCTATGTATTACAGTTTAGTGTATTAAATTCCATATTGCTACCAGAATAAATGTAATAAATATAAACATTTATGTGTGACAACTTTAAACAAAAAATAATTTTGAGGCTGGGAGTCTCTGATAGAAGTATTAATTTAATTTGAAGAATTGCAAAGAAAAACTTTAATGTGAGTGATTTTGTTTTTATAACTTGTTTGGTCCCAGTGATTTTCAAAAACAAGGAATTTACTTTAATTATCATACCTGACGAGTTTTATTACAATGAGATACAAAGTGATAAGTATACTTTTTTTGTATTTTATCATCTGAATGTGGAATAGACAAAATAACAATGTGTAAATCTCGTATTTTACATTCCTAGACTGAAGACAGAAACTGATACTGCTTGCATTCCAGGTGAGTATCATTGGAAGATAAAGGATTTTAACCAGTTTTTCTTTTAGCATATCTGAGCACAGCTGGCATGCTAAAAAGTAGGTACTGGAGGGGGTATGCCACTTCCATACCAGCTAAGGGTCTAAAGGAGCATTGTAAGTTTCTCCAGCAGCATCTGCAGTGGATTCCCCACCACCTACACATTCTATGAATTGAAAATCCATAGAAAATAAGAAGCAACAATATTTGTTTAATTTAGGTTCTAAGATTGTTCATAATTTGTTATAAGATTGTTCATAATCTGTTTTAAGATTGTTCTTAATTTGTTTTAAGATTGTTCATAATTTGTTGTAAGATTGTTCATAATTTGTTGTAAGATTGTTCATAATCTGTTGTAAGACTGTTCATAATCTGTTGTAAGATTGTTCATAATTTGTTGTAAGATGGTTCATAATCTGTTGTAAGATGGTTCATAATTTGTTTTAAGATGGTTCATAATTTGTTGTAATATTTTTTATAATTTGTTGTAAGATTGTTCATAATCTGTTGTAAGATTGTTCATAATTTGTTGTAAGATGGTTCATAATTTGTTTTAAGATGGTTCATAATTTGTTGTAAGATTGTTTATAATTTGTTGTAAGATTGTTTATAATTTGTTGTAAGTCTGTTCATAATCTGTTGTAAGATGGTTCATAATTTGTTGTCAGATGGTTCATAATTTGTTTTAAGATGGTTCATAATTTGTAAATCACCTAACTATACACAAACTCTCACTTGATCTCTACTTTAGGCACAAAAAGCAAATATACATACATTTCTGTCAACCAGCACCAACTCATCATATTCACAAAAGCAGATAAATTACACATAGAACAGATTAGTTTTATCATGGTCAATCAATTACAGTGTTTTATCATAATTCAGAACACTGGAAACATGTGGTCAGAAGTGACTGACCTAAACTTTATGTAGCCATTTTAAAACTTCCCACTCCCTATCTACTATTTGAATGAAAAAACAAGAATAATTTCTGCCAATTTACTTTACTGATTTTAGCCTTTGTTTTTATAAAATCACACAATAGAATGAATTCTGTAACTTTCAACAAACGTTGGAACTTCATTTACATATACCACAGGGGTAATCTAACAAATATGTGGTAAACTCACAAGCAGCTGGTAGTAAAACATTTTTAACAGCTAAACCTACCACACCCAAAACCGAATATGTCTTCGTTACAAAGAAAGTTATCTAAAGCCTAAATCAAAATGATATATTTTAATACAATCAAACATTTACATTGCACATATAGGATTTGTTTAAAATTGGATTCTCTGATTTCTTACGGAATTACAACTTTTTTTCCCATTATGTTTAACAAGATAAAATCCTTATATTTGTCTGTGAATAGAGAACAAAAAAGGCACAGTAAACAGAACTAACTGTCAAAAGTCTTGACATTGGAAACACTACTTTCAACACATACAGTTTCTTTGTCTTTTTTACTGAAGAAGACACGTGAATTTGTGGAAATTAGTTCTTCCAATATCAAGATTTCTGACACTTTGTTCCATTTACTAGGTTTTTTTTTGTTCTCTAAATGCTACACACATTGTCTGTGAATACTTTTCCACCTTTATTTCCCTCCACATCAGCATGCTGAAAATGAACAAGCTACACCATCTTGTTGTCTTAACTAAAATACAATCAAATTTAGACTTTATACAAAATATGGAATTGGATACATTACATACAAAGCATCATACATTTTAGAAATTCACAACTTCTTTTGTCTTTGAAATGGAAATCCCGAACAACTGAATAGTTAGCTGGGTTATGAAAACGACAAAGCTTTTCTCAGTGTTGCAACCACTAATAAAAAAGGAAAAAAATCATAACAAACGTACACACAAACCAAAACATTTTAAAGTGCACAAAAACAAAGTCTTTCAAGAGAGTTACATTCCTGTAACTTGGGGAAGGCATCATTCAGTTGAGAATTGCATATCAGTAAGTTGGAGAGAGTATCATTCAGGTGAGAGTTACATACCTGTAATTTGAGGACAGAGTAACGTACCTGTAACTTGGTAAAACTATCATTCAGGTGTGTTTGACCAGCAGAGCCATATTCATAGAGCTGGGCAGGTGTCATAGCTGCTGGAGCCTGCAAGTTACAAGTTTTTATGTAACAAGAAGAAAATGTTCAAATATATCTTAACATTTCAAAATAAATATCACAGCTCCCTAACACAAACAAACAAATAATTACCAGTGAACAGTAAGAAACGTCTTAAGCATTGTTTGTCTGCTTTGATTGAATACCATTTGTACTGATAAAGTAATCAAAATTTTGTTATTTTTTTATGCTCTAATCAGCATATAGACATCAGTTTTTAAAATGGTCACTCTTTTAATGCAACGCTTACAATACAATCTTAAAATTTTCAATAAATATTTTTTTAAGTTTAAATATATTATAAGATAACATGAACTGTGTAATTCTTTATTTTTTATTGTCATATTTCACGGTTTTAACATAACCTTAAACTGCAGCAAATAATAAGGAAGAGTTAGACCATGGTAACTAGGTTACAGTCTTACATACAAGAATATTCTAAGTAATGACTAGTACAAAAGAGTTAGACCATAATAACCAGGTTACTGTCGTAAATAGAACAATTTTCTAAGTTAGACCACAGTAACAAGGTTACTGTCTCAAGTACAAAAATATTATAAATACTGAGTACTAAACAGTAGTTAGATCAAAGCAAACAGGTTACTATCTCATGTGCAACAATATTCTAAGTACTGACTAGTACACAAGAGGTAGACACTAGTAATCAGGTTACTGTCTCAGGTACAGCAATATTCTCAGTACTGACTACAACACAAAAGTCAGACCATATTAAACAAGGTACTGTCTAACATACAAAAATACTCTCAGTACTGACTACTGCACAAGAGTTAGACCACAGTAACCAATTTATTGTCTCATATACAACATTATTCTCAATACTGATTAGCACAAAAGAGTTAGAATATAGTAACCTGATTACTATCTCAAGTACAAAAATATTATAAATACAACATTCTAAATAGTGATTAGTACACAAAAGCTAAACCATAGTAACCAGGTTACAGTATCATGTACATCAATTTTGTCAGTACTAACTACCACAGAAGAGTTATACCATAGTAACCAGGTTACTGTTTTACATACAACAATATTCTCAGTACTAACTAGTACACAATATTTAGATTATAGTAACCACATTACTGTCTCAAGTACAACAGTACTGACTAGTACACAAGACTTAGACTATAGTAAGCAGGTTACTGTCTTACATAAAACAATATTGTAAATAATAACTAGTACACAAGTGTTAGACCATAGTAACCACATTACTGTCTCATGTACAACAATATTCTAAGTCATGATTTCTACACAAAAGTTAGATCATAGTAACCATTTTCTTGTCTCATGTACAACAAATTCTGAGTACTGACTAATACACAAGAAATAGCATACCGAATAACATAATATAATATTTTGTGACAACATGGGACCTATTTATCCATCTTGGCTGTTCCATCCTCAAAACTAAATTAAAATTATTGAAAAAATAAAATAAAAATGTTTAAACCCAGCCTTTTTCATTCATATACTTACCAAGCTTTTACTTACACTCACTTAAATTTACTGCCTCTACAACATCTGAAGGCAACCCATTCTAAAGGCCAACCATCCTGTTAGAAAAATAAAACTGTCTAAGCTAAAGATGACTTCTACCTTGCCAAAATTTGTACTTGTGTCTCCTAATCCTACTATTCTCACTGTTAAATATTAAGAAAAAGATGATACATCAACACTATCAATTTCCTTTACAATCTTAAACACCTCAGTCAGATCCCCCCCAACTCTTCTTTTTTAAGAGAAACAATTTGAGCGATTTCAGCCTCCTCTAATATGACAACCCCTCCATCCCAGGCACCATTCTAGTAACCCTTCTCTCAACCCTTGCCAACAATTCAAT